TGAACTCTGGGCCTGGGCGCTGTCCCTCAGCTCTTCAGCTCAAGGCGAGCGCTCTACCACTTGAGCTACAGCGCCACTTCCTCAACTTTATTTTTAACAGTACTGAAATTTGAACTCTGGTACTTGGACTTTCTACCACACCTCTAACTTTTTGTCATTTTTATTTACTTTTCTGGTATGCTTGAACTCAGGGTCTTTCTTAGCTTTCTTGCTCAAGGTTGGTGCTATTCCACTTGAGCCATTAACTACTTTTTGGTGGTTAATTAGAGGTAAGAATCTTTCTGATTTGTCTGCTTGGACTGGCTTGAAACTGGAATCTTCAGAGCTCAGCCTCCTGGGTGGTTGAGATTACAGGTGTGAGCCACTTGTACTTTTTTTTTTTTAATTTGGGATGGGTATTTTTCTCAGGCTGGTCTTGAATTCCAGAGCTCAGGGGATCCTCCTGCCTCAGCCTCCTGAGTAATTGGAACTATAGACATGTGCTACAATGTTCTACTTTGTTTTCACGCTAATTGTAGACAAAATACAAACTCATTGTAAACTGTTTAAAAACCATATGTAAGAACAAGAGTAGTCAAGTCTGCTGTGTCATTGTCATAGTTGAGGAATTTTGTGCTGTTCCTGCCAATGCTTTTTTTGTTGCCGAAAAGTATATAAGAATCAAGCTGGGGGGCTGGGAAGATGGCTCAGTGGTAGAGCGCTTGCCTTGCATGCCTGAGGCCCTGAGTTCGATTCCTCAGCACCACATAAACCAAAAAGAAAAAAGCCGGAAGTGGCGCTGTGGCTCAAGTGGTAGAGCGCTGGTCTTCAGCTGAAGAGCTGAGGGACAGCGCCTAGGCCCAGAGTTCAGGCCCCACAACCAGACACCCCCCCCCAAAAAAAAATAAAAGAATCAAGCTGGGCTTGTAATCCTAGCCACTCAGAAGGTGGAGATACTAAGGATCACAGTTTAAAGCTGGCCTGGGTATAAGTCGGTGAGACTTTCTTCAAAATAACCAGCACAAAGCAGGGCTGAAGGTAGCTCAAGTGTTATGAGTGCTAGCCAAGCAATCAAGTCAAGGAAGTATGAAGTCTTGAATTCAAACTTCAGTACCACACACACAAAAAAAATGTGCAGGCTGGGAAGGTGGCTCAGTGGTAGAGTGCTTGCCTCCCATGCATGAGGGCCTGGGTTGAATTCCTCAGCATCACATAAGCAGAAAAAGCCGGAAGTGGCACTGTGGCTCAAGTGGTAGAGCACTAGCCTTGAGCTGAAGAGCTGAGGGACAGCACCCAGGCCCAGAGACAGGCCTCGAGACTGAAGAGAGAGAGAGAGAAAGAGTGTGTGTATGAATTGTATAAAGCATTTCCAGAGAGAACAACAGTGAGTTACGTGCTATTTCCCTTTTCCAGATCCTGAGAGCCAGACCTTGAAAGAACACCTAATTGATGAACTGGACTATGTATTGGTCCCGACTGAGGCCTGGAATAAATTACTAAATTGGTATGGTTGTATAGAAGGCCAACAGCCCATTGTCAGAAAAGTGAGTATATCAGTTGTCACGCCTGATGATCAGTGTCTGCAGGTGCTTCCTGGGGGATTCTGATTTACATTTAGTTTTCTAAGAAAATGAACTTGGTTGGAGGTGGTTGTCTTGTTTCGGGTTTTCTGTTGGGAATTATT